GTTAAGCACCAGGCGAAAGTAAAATCGCTTCCTCGGTTAAAAAAGCGATAGTTTTTGGGTTAAAAACGCTAGGTTTAACGCAAAAAGTTCTCGATTTAAAGCGGCAGAAGTGAAAAAGTGCTCGGTTTCAGGCGTAGTTCAAAAGGCAATAATGTACCGAGTAGACATTCCTTGCAACAGGCTGTTGATTTGCCGTTTTTAAGTCCCATTCAGAAGACCTAGCAACTACAACGACAACTGTGAAGGTGATCGACGCTGCTATCTCCGAATGGCTCCAACAGTGAGGGGGGCGGGAAGGGAGGCGCCTCGTCTGTGTGACGGGACCGCATGGCACCTCTCCATTGACATCAGGTCGTGCTGCAAACCATATGGCGAGTGAGGTTTCCGCTGCGCCAGGGGAGCTGGCCTTCACCGAGCTGCAAGTAGGGCCTCCAATACCCTGCTTAGCTGCGGATAAAGTTGGATTATGCCATCCATTGTTCATTGTGAAAGTGCGAATACAGAATGTCATTTTATAGCGTGGCGTTAACCTACGGAGCTCGGGTTACATTAAACACTACTGTGCGAATGCTTCTCGCCCATCGCACTGTCGGCTTATTCTCAATCCCATGCTTCGGCTGGCAATGATCTTGATGTAAGGGTAAGAGGTTGAGGCCTTAAGCCATATACCACAGTCAGGAGCCAGTGGCAGGCCATGGGTCATAAACTCGTCAATAGCCTCACATAATCTACTTCCAAAGCTCAAGTAATAGCTATATATATATATATATATATATATATATATATATATATATATGTAATAGCCATACATATATTGCGCACATTATTTTTGTGAAGACTTTCATAAGGATAGCAAACTACCCAAACACGTATGAATAGTTATGCGCAGGTTTCGCTTTTCATTACGCAGGAGAGGTGCGAGTGCACCTTTCAGCTTCACAAAACCGGTGCTGTTTTGAGGAACTTACTGGAGAATGACTGGAGAATTGAGGTAGAGATGCGTTAATATTTCGGCAACATGTCCCTATGGAAACGAATAGCAGTAGAAAAAAAGAAAGCTTCTGCTAGTCGTTTCGACAAAGGTATGTTGCCGAAATATCAAAGCATCTTTATTTCATTCTCCTAGTTTTTCTGCGCGTAATGAAGCTATTGCTGTTATATCTTCTATGTATAATGCTCCTCACAAATGCACTTAACAACTTACGTAGTTTTTAAAGACGGAAAGCAATGGAACAAGAAATGTATCTTTTAATTGTAGTGCGACCTAAATTTAAACCAATTCCGTCCCAGCTCAGCTGCGATTTTCCTGCGGCATTGCTAACAGCTTCCTGGTTAAAAGGAGTATCACAACTTCGTGCATATTTCAAAACATGTGAAGCTCTGGTGAAACCTCAGGACCAGTTACGTTTAATGATAGCTCTGGATACTGTCACTGCAGCGTCATTAATATAGAACAAAGATGGATGTTTCAACACGCGCCCCGGTGGCCGGCTGGATGTCCTTCGCTCGGGTGGGGATCATTTTGATCCCGCTGAGATCTCGGGAACTAAGACAGCTAGAGACACCAAATTTACAGGGTGTGTTAACCTGTACGTGGACTCACTTAGGTCACAGTTTCAGGTTCCTAGGTCATGACCTTTGGGTCAAGGAAGGTCAAGTTCCAGGTTGGTCTCCAAAGTGCCCAGAACCTAGATAACCGTTTCTAGGCAAAAGGCCACATGCTCATTCAAGGTCAGTGACCTTGTTTGACCTTTTGAAAGTCAAGGTGACCAAAACAGTGCAAAATTGCTTTGAGTTTTGCATTTGACTAAGCGACAAAGAATACGCTAGGCAGAATGTTTCTAAAATAAAATGCTGACCTGTGTTATTTTAGGTCAAGGACCTATTCTAACCTCTAAGGATTCCATAAAAGATGTATCATGCGGTTCCTGCCATCAATAAATTCGAAATGAGCACCAGAAACTATCCCATACAGCAAGCCCCAGAGTAACAAAACAGTTTGGTTTTGACCTTGATGTGACCTTTATATCTGACCTTAAGTCAATGCAATTTACTCAATCAACTGTTGTGTTGTCTAAAAAAGCATCTCAAATATGTATGGCTTCGTCTGACACTCCGTTGTTAGAACAGATTGAAGGATTCCCTAGAAATTGCCTTCGCTGAAACCATGGTCTGACTTTGACCCGCCTTTGACTTTGACTTTGACCTTGACTTTGACGATAGGTCAGTGACTCTACGAGGTAAGTCTAAATTTTTTTAATGTAAAACGATCTGCTATTCAATTGTCTACAGCTATGCAAAATTTGGCGCGGCTACGCCGCGCCGTTCGGAAATCATTCTGGAAAACCTTCGGAGGGGGGGGGGGGCAATTTGACCCCCCACCCGAGCGCGTGTTAATAATTTTCGAGTCCAAACACCTTGTCAACGCTTTGTAACAGCACTCCACTTCTTCCGTTCTTAGTAGCCCTGGAGCGTATGCTGAATCCGCGACAGTTGCAGCTGTCGTGACCGCGGTCGCCGTGATAACGGCAGAATCTGCTGAGGGACGTTGTCAGCTTGTTGCGAGTTAGAGCTGTTTGTATGCACTTTTGAGCTGTTTTAACCCGCACATTGCGGCCTACGGACAAGTGACATCCCTATTGGTATGAATGACGACGACGTGATTGGTACAGCGGGCGGCAGGGGCCAGTTACCGAGAAGCGCATTGGTTGAACCGGGACTGCCGAGATGTGTACAGGGCCACTGCACGTCCCCGAATCTCCCCGTGCCCTGCGCGCTCTATTCGTGACACGCGCAGAGTCTTCCCAACGTCAGACTCGGGCTGTTAGGGTGGTGTTGGCTCGCTACATCTGCCTTGCATCCGACTGACTGCCACCCAGCGGCATTTTCCTTACTGCGCCGCCGCCGCTTGGAACCTTAAATCGTTGACGCCTCGACTGAAACTGCTTGCATCTGTGCGTTTGTGCGTATCTCTGATGACTGTGTTTGGGTTTTTCTGGCATGACCAGACGCAGAACAACCACAACGTGGATGCGCCTTCAATAAAATAATTGTATAGCTGCATTCGTAACATTCATTGCACGAGCATTTTGACAGATTAATGTGTCAGAAACATTACAGAACACACACGCTGGAAAAAGCAATGCAAATAAAATGCATTTCGTTCATAGTGGTGAGCAAGGAGTCCTATGTGATGTCTCCCGCCTCAGGGCATACTTCAAATAAGAATACTGAGTTATTCAGAACGGTTTCGAGAAAACTGGTATTTCCGAACAATTCGGGCGTGTCTGATCTAACATGAAGAGCAAAGTCCAGAGAAAGTCACTCCCCTTAAGTCGCCGTATCGTTACGACAGGCTCTCAGGTCCGTAAAGCAGAGCACCGGAATGACGTCCCCTAGCCATGAACACTACGCCACCATAAAGTCACGTGCATTGTGATATCCGGCGGGTGCTGCTTGTCCTCTTGCAGTCGATGCACTCGGAAATGCAAAATAATCATCATCATTATCAATACCACGACGACGACGACGACGACGACGACGACGACCACCACCACCACCACCACCACCACCACCACCACCACTATCGTCATCATCACCATCATCGCCGCCGCCACCACCACCTCCACCATCATAATAATAATAAAACAATCATTATTGTTAGTAGTAGTAGTATAAATATTATCATTAATGGCATCATTATCATCATCGCCGTCGTCGTCACCATAATCATCATCGTCATCGTCATCATCATCATCATCATGTATCTACGGACATATGAGAATGCAGAATGCACAAATCTGCAGGTTTATTCTCAGTGCGAGTCTGGCCCGGCGTTAGCCTCATTTCGTAGTCAACTCTCTGCGAGCTGATGAGTTCGGAATGCCAAGGTTCACGCCACGTCAGCAGAGGTGCGGGTTTCGCACATAGACAGGCATGCTGGCAACCTCCACTCTTCTACGTCGGTGTCATCTCCAATGACCCAGTCTGACCTTCCCGAGCCACCCCACCTGGTCATTGAAGGGTTGATTACACAACGGGAGGAAGAAATCATTTCGCCATTAGGCACATGCCTGGCAAATCTACCCAAAAAAGGTATGCTAGTGCCGCTCATTAGTTTTGGTCGCCCTCGCCAAAAACGTGAATCACTAAAAGTCATGTATTTCGCCCACGAATCATTACCTTACCTCTATTACCATACCTCTGCGATCTGAACTCTCGTGGCATCGACTTTTCCGCAATTTCTCAATATTTGACATGGTCTGTGTAGGGCTGTTCCGGTGCATAGTTGGGGAAAATTTGTATAATTTCTAAGTGCTGCTTGGCTCCATGAGATGCAGGTTGTATTTTGTCCTACATGCATGGTAATAACTGAAATCTCCCATTTCGCTCGCCTCATGTCTCATGCAGCGGCTTACCAGCATACATCAATGGACTGTTTCTTTAAGATGGAAGATAAGGATGGCATTTGTAATCCAAGTCAAGGTCTTCCAAATATTTTTTAAGGTTTATAATTCCCTCTTTGTGATGTGCACCAACATATCAAAGTTTCTTATCCGTTCGAAATTAACAGACCCCTTTGACAGTTATTCCCTTCCCTTCCCCTCCCTTCCCGACCATCAAATGCACGTTAGATTAGCACATCCACCGGACCCGGCCGGACAGTTACCTACCCAGTGCTAATCCCCCGCAGAGACGCTGGGTTCCCCTCCTTCGGCCCGTCTGGCGAGCGGAGGACCAGCCTGTATCAGCGTCGCGGTCCTTGTGAGCCGGGCTCGGCCTCCCCCACCCCACGTGGATGAGTCGGCCTGCAGGGGAGGGGGCAGGCGCGCACGCGGCCGGATACGTTCAACCCGTCACCAGGCTCCCGTTCCAGGAACGGCTCGCATTGCCGGGGTGCACCATTGTTTACAGAGGACCTCTGGGGCGCTGCTGGCTCGTTTCCGCACCACGTGGTGCGGCAGCGCCGGCCGGCCGGCCACTCGGCCGCGTGGCGCACTCGTGACAGGCGGCGCGGACGACCGGTGGCCGGCTCCGGTGGCGGCGGATCGGCTGAGGTTCCGGTGGCGCGGAGGGACACCCAGAGCCTCGGGCCATGCAGTGCGAGCAGTGCACCGGTGTGCGCGAGTGCACGCCCCGCGGCCGGGAGCGGCTCGAGCAGGCGCGTGAGCTGTGCGAGGCGCGTGACGAGGAGCCGGAGATGCGTGAGGCGTGCGGCGTGTTCGGCGTGGTGGCGGCGCCGCCGTGGCCCACGCAGCTCTCAGGTGGCGCAGACCGTCTACATGGGCCTGGTGGCGATCCAGCACCGCGGCCAGGAGAGCGCCGGCATCGTCACCGGCGACGGCACGGACGCCGAATTCCGCCAGGAGCGCGGCATGGGTCTGGTCTCGAGCGTGTTCACGGCCGAGCGGCTGGCGCGCCTGCCGGGCAGCCTGGGGCTCGGCCACACGCGCTACAGCACCGCCGGCAGCTCAGACTCGCAGCACTGTCAGCCGTTCATCGTGCACTCGAAGCATGGCCTGGTGGCGCTCGCGCACAACGGCGAGCTCATCAACGCCGGCCGGCTGCGGCGCGAGGTGCTGGAGCGCGGCGTCGGCCTGTCCACCACCTCCGACTCGGAGCTCATCATGCAGCTGCTGTCGCTGGCGCCGCCGTGCGGTGAGCCGAACGGCGCCGACTGGCCGGCGCGGATCCGCCATCTGATCCGACGCACGCCTACCAGCTACGCCATCGCCGTGCTGTACAAGGACCGGCTGCTGGCGGCGCGCGACCCGTACGGCAACCGACCGCTGTGCGTGGGCGAGCTGCGCGAGGTGGGCGCCGCCGGCGGGCCGCCGCTCGGCTATGTGGTCTCGTCCGAGTCGTGCGCGTTCCAGTCGTGCGGCGCGCGCTGGACGCGTGACGTGCTGCCTGGCGAGATCGTCGAGCTGACGGCGGCCGGCGTGCGCAGCATCGACGTCGTGCCGCGCCGCGACGGGGACCCGCCCGCCTTCTGCATCTTCGAGTACGTGTACTTCTCGCGGCCCGACAGCTGGTTCGAGGGCCAGATGGTGTACTCGGTGCGCGAGCGGTGCGGCGCGCAGCTGGCGCGTGAGTGCCCGGCGCCCGCCGACCTCGTCTCCACTGTGCCGGAGTCGGCCACGCCGGCGGCACTCGGCTTCGCGCGCCAGTCGGGCGTGCCGTACGTGGAGGTGTTCTGCAAGAACCGCTACGTGGGACGCACGTTCATCCAGCCGGACCAGCGGACGCGCGCACTCGGCGTCAGCAAGAAGTTCGGCGTGCTGCGCGCCAACGTGGAGGGCAAGCGCGTCGTGATCGTCGACGACTCGATCGTGCGCGGCACGACGGTGCGGCCGATCGTGAAGCTGCTGAAGGAGAACGGCGCCACCGAGGTGCATATTCGCGTCGCTTCGCCGCCTATCCGACACCCCTGCTACATGGGCATCAACATCCCGACTCGGGGAGAGCTGTTCGCTAACCGGCACGCGGCCGAGGAGCGCGCGCGTGCCGCCGGTGCCGACAGCCTCCAGTACCTGTCCGTCGAGGGGCTGAAGGCGGCCGTGCGCGCCGGGCTAGCCGACCCCGCCAGCTCGGGCCAGTGTGTCGCCTGCCTGACTGGGCAGTACCCGGTGGAGCTGGAGTGGTGACCAGCAGGCGCCCGCGTTTGGTTGGAGTGTTGATCAGCTGGTGCTCGGCACAGCTTAAGTAGTGACCAGCTGACGCTCGGTACAGTTGGAGTGTTGACCAGCTGGTGTTCGGCAAAGCTACAGTGGTAAACAGCTGGCGCTCGGTAGAGTTGGAATGTTGACCAGCTGGTACTCGGCAGAGCTAGAGTGGTGACCAGCAGGCGCCCTGTAGAGTTGGAATGTTGATTTGCTGGTACTCGGCAGGGCTGGATTGGTGATCAGCTAGCGCCCGGTAGAGTTGCAGTGTTGACCAGCTGGTGTTCGGCAGAGCTAAAGTAGTGGCCAGCTGGCGCTCGGTAGAGTTGGAATGTTGACCAGCTGGTACTCGGCAGAACTAGAGTGGTGACCAGCAGACGCCCTGTAGAGTTGGAGTGTTGATTTGCTGGTACTCGGCAGAGCTGGAGTGGTGACCAGCAGGCGCCCTGTAGAGTTGGAGTGTTGACCAGCTGGTGTTCGGCAGTGCTGGAGCGGTGACTGTCCTTGCCCTGCCAGGTCACCAGCTGGGGATCGTCCGGTACCTGACCAAGTTGTGGCGGTGATTGGCTGATGTCCGACGGGACTGGGTGGGGATCTGTCGGTACTCGGTGGAGTTGGAGCGTACATAACTGACGACTTCAAACCTACAATACCGCATTGACGTTCCATCAGTGCCGTTTAAAGACGCCGTCATAGATAGCGCATGTGGCCGATGTACCGCCGGGAGAGCTGATGTGTGAACCGACTCCTGCCGTCTCCATATTGGTGCCACCCTGTCACCGATTGGTCAATGGCCGATCACTTGCAGCAAATAATCACATGATATGTCATGATACTGTCGGGCTGGGATGCAATGTATATTTGAAGAATAACGTCGCAGTTCCGACTTGTAGATACAGCATTGATCGATGTTATTCGCTGCCTATGCTTGCCTATTTTACGTCGAATGTTGCAATACATTTTTCTCGTCATGATAACTGCGCGTGCGTCTGAGGGGAGAGGGACAGCTGCACAGGTGGTTGACCGCTAGCTATATGGTACACAATCAATAACTCGGTATGCGACGTAGCAATATATTTTTAATGGCAGCTGATGTCTGGGTTACGCCAACTGCAATTATTATTTTGTGCCAACACGACAAGATATTGGAAGTTTTGATGCTTTCTACCGTATGTTTCATAGCCATCCTCTACAAAAATAATGGTGTAACAGATGCTATGCGAAACATGACGCATTGCGTTCAAATCAACATAACGTGTCACTAAACCGCAAGTGAACTCAAATCGAAAGAAAGAGTTGCTACAGGCCTTTAGGCCCTCTAACGATTTTGGAAGGTTTGTGGCCGATTCTTGGCAGCCTGTGCAAAGCCATTGGCCACATGGTATTCGTCGCTTAAAGTTTTCTGGACGGAGATAACCGATTACCAAACACGGGCCGTCGTTGCCGTTCATACGTGGCCCGATGATTCGACATGAAATTAGATTCTGTTTGGATAGTATTCTTAGATGGCAAGGCCACTTCGGCGTTTTCACGATCTGAGGTATGAGGATCAGCCGTTGCCCTGTAGCATTCAAACTGGCGTTGGGGTCTGTGGGGGTGGGAGTGGGAGGAGGAGGGGGACCGATGATTTGGAGGCTCAAACCGTTGAAACAACAGCATGGAGGCTGACGCCAGGAGGCACGCAAGTTCCCAGGGCTGTGGTCTATGCCCATTGGTCCATTGGTGACTCCAGAGAGCATAATTAACCTGGAAACAGGAGTTAGCGTCGTCTCGCGCCAGACGACGCCTGTGATCGCGGCCGGACTGGCAAACGTTGTGCACGGGCCGGCAGTGCCTGCCACTCGGCGCCGGCGCGGTCGAGACTCGAGTCCGTCCACGGACGGTTCATAGCCCGAGGGCTACTGAGCCGGCGGCCCTCAGGTCGGACGGCAGACTGTGACCGGCCTCAGTCCAAGTCCAGCCCACTCGTGATTTTGGCCTCCGCACAGGTGCAAGGCAACAGGGCTGGGTTGAGCAGAGACATCTAGTGGCAATGTTTTTAACTTATGATACATGTGATGATCGCTACGCGTACCAGATGGGATAGTACCGTCGTCTTGCACCAAGTGTATTATTTATGCTTTAGCTCTCTCACAGCCCGTATGGCTCGTCACTTTTCCATGGCCTGTCAGATGGTGACCGTTCTTTGCTGACCCCACCCTCCCCCCTCTTGCAAACATCACCACCTACCAGCCTGTGCTCAATACGGGCAGCCCCCAGCTAAGCCCAGCGGTGCTGAAACGTGTTGCCGTCTGGCATGGGCGTAGCCAAACCTGTCGAATGGGTAAGTTGGGTCAGGCAGGGCAAGGCTTGGTCAGCTTGTTCGCAGCTTCCTGGAAAGCTTCTGATAAATTGCAAAATTTTCCTCCTCACAGTGCAAATTCTTCTGTGAGCTGAAGCACACACACACACACACACACACACACACACACACACACACACACACACACACATATATATATATGTATATATATATATATATATATATATATATATATATATATATCGTGAGGCATGGTTTGTGTATTTGAGTCCATCTCACCCTCACAGTAGGAGCCAAGCACAGTATACAGCTGTGTTTGTATGCATGAACTTCTTCTGTAAGCACATAAGCACATAAGCACACGTCTTCTGTAAGCATATATATATATATATATATATATATATATATATATATATATATGTGTGTGTGTGTGTGTGTGTGTGTGTGTGTGTGTGTGTGTGTGCGTTTTCTCATAGGATTTGCACCTTTAAGTTTCAAACGGAAATTTCGTGAAACATTTTTCTCATGGATAGGTTGGGGACTGAGCAACAGCATTTTTACTAGCCAACTCGCCACATCAGAGCCGCAGGAATCCGCGGGCTTTTAGCCATGTTGTGGGCCAAGCGTCACAGGTTTTTGCGAGCTAAAATGTCAAGAAGCAAAATAATGCATGGTTTTCTATAACCAAAGTTTTACACCAAGCATTTTACGGTACTATTTGTATTTTACGGTACACCAAGCATTTTGGCAGTACTTACAAGTGCTGCGAAAAGTCATAACAAAACATAGTTCGATTTAGAAGCCCGCCCCTATGCTAGAAGAGCACCTGTGCCAGAAAACCAATGGCAGACAGGATTAACCAGTAAACCAGGTCGCCCAAATTCAACAATTTTCTATAGAATATCAACTGACAAAATCATGAAAAACAACACAAATTTTCCAAGTTCATGCATACAAACACAGCTGTATACTGTGCTTGGCTCCTACTGTGAGGGTGAGATGGACTCAAATACACAAACCATGCCTCACGATCAATATCAATGATGCATAGGGTGAAAGAGAAACAGTATGCTTTTCACCGCCCTGGCCCCGCTTACATGTCAATACAGCCCGCAGTTGCTGGTACATGAAATGCGCAACAGTTGTCGAAATAGAAAAAGACCTTGATGGTAGCGTAGAGTTGGTCCCTTTTTACCTTAAGACCATGCAGTTTACGGTCGGGATAACGGGGGCTCTGACACATGATGCGTTGCAACCTCATTGCAAGTGTCATTAATTTTCAACATATGTGTGTCATAAATGCATTGTTGTTGTGTCTTTTTCGCTTCTTCCGATGTCTGTATGCACACCTGCGTAAAAATTTCCAATTCAACACATGGCCCCAATCCAAAACCCGGTATGGAACGCGCGCTGCAGTCAGAAGGCGATGTGAAATGTGGAGAGGTCCTGGAGATGACTTTCTTAATTTTTCTTGTGATTCTTTTGATTTTAACATGAAATTGAAGGTCAAAATGTCCGTACACCTCCTAATCAAATTTATCTCTCGGCAGGACTCACAACCTGCTGTAATTTGAATGGCAAAATATAAGACACCCTTGCCGGTAGCTTGCACATAGATGCGCATGGCAATGTCTGGCCACAGCCGTCCCAAGCTGGCGTCACCCAGACAGGACATGAGCGGTGCGTCTCGAGATCTCCTCACACACGCCGATGTGCAATTCACTCTTTTTAGAGAAATCTAAGGATGAGTGTCCACCAACGACTGCCCCCCTCTGCCCCAGCCTGCTCACGCCGCCCCAGACACGCTGTCTGATCTCAGCTGCCAGCACCCTGCCTCCGTCGGCCGGTGAGGTTGACACGCGGTCTGATCTCAGCTGCCAGCACCCTGCCTCCGTCGGCCGGTGAGGTTGACACGCGGCCTGATCTCAGCTGCCAGCACGCTGCCTCCGTCGGCCGGCCAGAACGCCAGCACAGCCGCACGGGCTGGGCCAGCCCCGTCTGGCCAGTCACCAGCGGAATTGCCTTCGATGGTCCGGCAAAACAGCCGCCCCCCCCCCCTTCCCCTCCCCGGGGCTCGTAGCCAGTGTCACGCCCGTTGCCGGCGATGTTTCCGTGAACTTCCGAGCGAGACTCTATGCCCGCCTTGGCAGTTGTACCCGGCACCTCCTTATTACAGTCCCACCAGTTGTCCGCTGGACCATGTACACCATATTTGGATCCAAGAGGGCAAGTAAGCTCAAACTCATCTATTTTATCAGATTCAACGCTAAAATAGCATGACACGTTTATATCAGAAAGGTCGACCCAGATCATAAGCCTCGTTTCAGATCGAAAATGCCAATGACTTCTGATATACTACAATAGTTTAGTATTGTCTTCAGCTGTTCCTTTCCTTTCGTCGTTGGGTTAACGGAAGGCTTCATTTTCGCCTCCACCGTTCTCCTTCCCCCTGATGGGAAAATAACCAGAGACACCGGGTGACCGATTCAGGATTTCTGATTTGGACGCCACGCATAACAATACAGATTGAAATGATCTCAACCTGTGATATGTTGAGCCCACGCCATGACACAAGGTTTTCCATAACGCGGACTGATGGGGGTGGGGAGTGGGGATTGAGCACCCCTTGGCGTTTCAAAACTAAGAAATATAGAGCTTAGCGGAAAACACCAGTGGATTGGTCTCATTGAGATCTCATGATTGGGATTGCATTTTAATGTCGTTAGGTAAATAATTGGCGCTATTTTGCCTAGTTGCAGGTCAAATCTCCAGGCAATAACAATATTTTAGCCTTACAATATCACAAATACGAGACTATGCCTCGAGTCGACACGAAACCTAAACAAACGTGTTTCGCGGTCAATTCTGAGTATAATAATGCATGTGTTCATGTGTTTTGAGCAAACAGCTACAACATATGACTTAATAAATGTAACCATATCGGCTCGCCGCGGGCGTTCCGCGCCATCTTTCATCACCTCCCGTGGCACGCGCTGGCCGTAGATCGCCGTGCAGTGTTCCTCAAAACCGCCGCTGCTCCGAAATCAGAAAGGCCAGGAACACGTTTCTTTGGTGCCAAAACACGTGCCATGAATCACAATAGACTTAGTCAAGTCGCCGAAATATTGACCCGAGTGTTGGTTACCACGAACTTCTTCACGGAAACATTTTTAACGTAATAAAGAAAGGGGAAATTAGCTTGGTTCCTGTTTGTGCAGCCGTGAGCATTTCTCGGAATTCAAGATGGTGGCTGCCGCCATCTTGAATGCTATCTAATTTTTTATCTTGATCTGGATGACTGAGGAAGCCGCGTTATATCTCTCCATGGGAGTTATTATATGTGCTGAGTCTACTTTTGGACTTCTTTTTGGGCTACGAGATCTAATGCAATGCCAAATCGGAGATAAATATCAAGCTCAGAGTCGACCTATGACGTAGAATCGTGACATCTAAAGAGACCTTTAGCGCAGTGCTACCAGCCAGCATCCGTCACATTCCCCAACCACTTTTCATAGCCATCACCACTCTTTACGCTTAGCTCCCCCTCGTTGTCTTCGATGTCCATCTGCTTGCTGGTGCAATGGCTATAAAAATGAGATTCTACACAACACCTACAGAAGTCTTTAGCCAAAGGCCTGCGCTGTGGCTGTTGCAGCAGCAGCGTGCAGCGCTGCATGCCTTGCTTTTAGTGGTGCAGGCTGCAGGTCACTATATCCAGGAGCGTTTCGGAAGT